GGCACACGCTACCTACAATCCAGACGTCTCTTCTTCTAAGCGTTACATCCATTCTCTGGGAGCAGCTGTGGACACCACTTGGCTTATATGCTCGTGCCCTGCCCCAATCTAGCACAAGCACTTTCCAAGCACCATCACACGCTGCTCTGCTCTGAGGAGTGGGTGTTGCAGAACTGCAGAGGGTTCTTGCAGAGTCCAATTACACGATCAACAAATAATCTGCCTCTTTAAAAGGGAAAACATGATGGCCTTGTGTGACAGATCTGAAACAGGTGCAGGGCAGAGGGAGACCTGACTGGTGACAATTCACACCAATGCGAATATGTTTGTTCCCAGTTCAAGGACTATTAGCACTGTTGTAGCTGGCATTGACCTCTGTAACTGGGCCACCGCCAGGGAGCTTTCATTTGCTCTTAGGGGTGAGGAGCAGAGGGGCTGGGGTGGGGAAATACAACTTGAAAAATCACAAAACCTCCACCCTCAGCCTTGTTATTTTGAAGTCTAAATTTTAGTCATTATGAGTGCCACTGATGATACAATTTCATAGCAGTTGGTCAGGAAATGCCACCCGCTATTAAATCCACCAACTGCAATCAAAATAGGGAGATCCATGCTTTACTCCAACCCACTCTATTCTTTTGCACATCCTGTTGATAAATATTTTGTTTTGTTTGGTCATCGCAGCATGTGCATCAGGCGTTTAAACATTCCAGGGGCTGTGAGGTCCCACAGCTGTTAGGGACATCCTTATTTCTACCCCCACAGCTTTGGGATATGAAAGAATTCAAACCTAGTTTTAAAAAAGAATTATTCCCTAATAAGCAAGACTTTTAAACACAGAACAATGAGGGTTATTAGGATAAATTCAGAAATAGTCCACTTAGCAGAAGTCCTGTAAGCACAGACGTGGAGTGGGGGTCCACGCTGATATACTTCTTCAGGACCATCATTCACACTCTCGTGTCCTACAGCTTTTATGCTTCTGACCATGACTTCTGGTGGAAAATAGGTAACTAGGGGTGTACAAGAATGTGGAGAAGACCGAGGCCCAAGGAGGTGAGCACAGATCATCTTGGACATAAGAAGCAGGAGTATGTAGGTATGTGGGAGAAGGCGGTGAGAAGCAGACAGAGCCAGATGGTTGTCTGAGAACATTACAGGGCACTTTTGTCTTTCCTTGAGCAAGTAGGTGTGTGTGTGTGTGTGTGTGTGCGTGTATGTGTGTGTGCGTGTGCGTGTGTGTGCGTGCGTGTGTGTGTGTGTGTGTGCCCAAGGAGGTGAGCACAGATCATCTTGGACATAAGAAGCAGGAGTATGTAGGTATGTGGGGGAAGGCGGTGAGAAGCAGACAGAGCCAGATGGTTGTCTGAGAACATTACAGGGCACTTTTGTCTTTCCTTGAGCAAGTAGGAGTGTGTGTGTGTGTGTGTGCGTGTATGTGTGTGTGTGTGTGCGTGTGTGTGCGTGCGTGTGTGTGTGTGTGTGTGAGAGAGAGAGAGAGAGAGAGAGAAAGGGAGAGAGATTATATTAAACAGTAAATTGAATCTGAGGAAAACAGAACACAAGGACTGCTGATATAAGTACAAGAGAACTGGCAAATGAAAAACTCAGGATTTGGTTGTACAAAAGTAATACTAATTACAGTTATGAGAACCATTCATTATTTATAATTTACTGGCATATACAAAGTAGCTATTAAGCTCATCACTTACATGTGTCAGATTAATTTTTGCTGTAGTTTTACTTGATTTCAACACTATGCTATGTATGTTTAAATCTAGTTTATTATGGTATATGATTATCTCCAGAAAACTTAAAAAATTCTACACTATCGGTAGAATTTAGGTGATTTTGAACACCCTTTGGAAAATAATAGAATGAGAAAAGTCATGAGAAAACAGAATAAAAAGGAAAATAGAAAAATTAAAAGAATAAGGCTTAAGTAGAAAGAAGAAAAGTAGAGTGTGTAGTATTTAATAAATTCAACAAGAAATAAAGGAAAAGAAAGAAGATAGTTAAAAATAAATTCAATGAGGAAAAATAAACAGAATAGAAAAATCTGGTTAAGAGCAGCAAAAGAAAAAGAACCTGAGTGTTACCAAACTATTTTAACAGACATAAATTATTAAATTTATATGCAATGTTTCCCCTGTTGGGAATGGTGAATAAAAATCCTTCTAGAAAGAAACTGTACTGCAAGCTTACAGAACAAAGCTTCCATGTCCAGAGTGTCTGAAATTCAGAGTAAATTCTTTTCAGCACACTGTGGTGAATATTTCTACTAGGATTAGCAGTCCTAATCTTCTCAAAGAGAGAAAGTCAAAGAGAGAAAGTGGAGAAAATCGACAAGCATTTTTTCATCGTCCCTGGAGAGAAAAGAGAGTTATTGTAAAGATTTATTGTGGCCCTAGCAGAAGATGGAGACGTGTTAATTTAGCTCTGTCTACATACCTGAAGACATCTGAGCTGCTGGAATGACCTCTCGCCCACCCCCTGCCAAGACTGCTGGCTGTTCAGGCACCCACTGACTGTGCAAGTGGGACCTCCAGTGTATGGCCTTGGCCAATGCAGAGAGAAGAGCTTTGTGTCTCCGACACGTGTACCTACCCATTCGCCACATGGCCAGAGAGAGAAACAGGGAAATTTATTGCTGACATCTCTGGGCCTGAGCCCTTCTCACAAATAAGAAATTGAATGAGGCTCTTTTCCTGCAAACACCAAGTCCTGCAGAGGCAGAGGCTTGGGTGCATTCAAGATTCAGCTTCACCCATAACCCACCGCCATGGCCGAGGAATGCATTGCTGCTGGAGGTGTAATGGATGTTAATACTGCTTTACAAGAGGTTCCATCCATGATGGGCTAGCAAGTGGAATTCACAAAGCTGCCAAGCCTTAGACAAGCGCCAAGCCCATCTCTGCATGCTTGCATTCGACTGTGACAAGCTTACGTATGTCAAGTTGGTGGAGGCCCTTCGTGCTGAACACCAAGTCAACCTAATCAAGGTGGGTAACAAGAAACTAGGGGAATGGGTGGGCCTCTGCACAACTGACAGACAGGGAAAACCACGTAAGGTGGTTGGTTGCATTTGTGTGGTAACTAAGGACTCTGGCAAAGAACCTCAGGCCAACAATGTCGTCAAAGAGTGCTCCAGGTACAGGAAATGTACAAATGAGAAGTTTGACTCGTGTTAAAAAGAAAAGAAATTGAATGAGGATACAGAGCTGCTAGTCATTCCTTCAACCTTCCACATGGTGTAAAAGCCAGGAGGCCCAGGAAATAAAGGGGTATGAGGCTTACTTCTTTTAGGGTTTTTGTAGACACACCATTCTGTCTGTCCCTCAAAAACAAACTAAAAATATTAAACTTCCACATCATCGATTTCTAACATTCTGGAGCAGTTGGTTATCACAAAACTAACTCTTGCTAAAATGTTTATGTTCCAACTTAGCACTATCTCATTCTTTAAAGATGTTGCCTATTTATAAAAATTGTATCACAGAACTTGGAGAAAAACAGTGCATGAAAAATAATCAAATTCACATAAACTATTAGTTACTTGATGGTTTCAAAATTATTCAAAAAGAATATTTTTGTGTTTCATATCCTACAGAAATTAATGAGCAGAAAAAAATCTTTCTGTTGATTTCTCTGTACTTTTCGCAGCCCTAAAGAAAAAGTCTTTCATGTCTCACCTAGACTTTGCCTGTAGAAATTTCTTTTTGGTCTACGCTGAACAAGATATTAATTCATAGAGAAAATGGAGGTCTCAAGATACCTATTTCGATCTGACTCATTTCTTTTCTCCAACACATTTTGTCATTCCTTATTCACTTACAATAAAAAGCCTCCTAGGCCTTTTATATACACTATGTCTAATTCATTGTCTATCATGTTGTTAGAAATGCCCATGCTACCTGAATAGTGTTTTTCATAATAGTAACTAGGCAAAAAAGGATGTTTCCCAAAACTTTCTAATAAAAATCACTTGCCCTGATTATTAAAGATAATAACTCCCAGCCCTCAACTGGAATGCAGAATTCACTTGAATAGATCTGTTCATCCCACAAATTCTTTGGATGCCTATTACATGCCAGCTACTGGGAAAGCAACTGAGAATGCTCGGGCAAGTAATACAAGGTCCCAACCTTGAGGAACTCTGTCTAGGGAAAGGTGATACACACGTTCAAAACAGTCACATGCGCTAGAATAAGGCGTGGGCCAAATGCCACGAGGCCTGCACTGGAGCAGAAGCTGCACTTCAGTGGATGATGAGCAGGAATTCACTAGGCTGAGGCAGGAGAGGGAACTGATGCTGCTACCACTGCTGGCTAACATTTATTAAACGCTCACTATGGTGACAGTACCCTGAGGCCGAGCACTTTGTACACAGCATCATACTTAATTTTCACAACGGCTATCATCCCACTGTTCAGAGGAGGCAACCCCTTGGTTGAATTTAGTAACTTGCCAAAGAACAAGCATCTGGAATTGGGCTAAGGGCTCTCATTCTGTGCAGAGGAGGACACAGGGTTCCACCATCATGTCATCAGCAAATCTTCCTTGTCCCTTCTCTACTGCCACCTACCCTGGGAGGAGCTCAAGGTCTGGAGAATATTAGAAACTTCTTCCACAGCACAATTGTGCCCCTCGCAGGCTTCTGTGAATTTCAAGCCCAAATCCAACATTTTAAAGGATTCTTCTTCAATGTGTGTTGCCACAAGTTCTCTTTGTAACTCCTAAGCCACTAACCACAGTGTGGAGTAGCCTGTAGATAGAAATCCATATTCAAAGCCCTCCTAATTACTTAGCAAACTTAATTGTATATTTCACACACATAATTCTCAGTGAAGGAAAATAGAAATTCACCTATTCATAAACTTCCCTTAATCCTACACACAAGTGATGAGACAATATTTGAAAAGGGTTAAACAGTTCCACGGTGTAAGAAAAGCTAAAGTAGAACCGATACCTTTTAGGAGACTAAATTAGTTCCTAATTACCTCGTTCTTTCCAATTCTTGAATTCTGTTCACTAGAATTTTCTTCCAAAAAACATTTCACTTTTTCAACCTTTTCCATGCACTGAAAAAGGGTCATTTTCTCCAGCTGGTTGCTGTTATAGCACGTGTTGATTTCTTCCAGCCTCTTCACTTTTAACATCTTGCTGGTGAGTCCGATTAGGCTACTGTCTGAACTGTGATTTTCATCTCCCTCTGTCTCCGATTTGTAAATCAAGACACAGTCACGACTTTGCAGTGCTCCTTTCTCTTGACTGTAAAGAAAGGCAACAAAGAAAATTCTCTTCACTTATTCACATATTTGACTTTTGGGAAAATGACCAGTGAGAATTTGGCCGTCTCTTCTATTTAAACTGGACAGAGGATCCAAAATTAGATAAAGAAATGCTAATATTCATATCAAATTTCCAATGCTGGAGCATTGAAAGGAAAAAGGGTTTTCACTTTTCCTATAAAAGCAAACAGTAAGAAGTAATGTCAAGTTTCAGTGGGTGAGTAAATATTTTCCTCATTACATAAAATAAGATGTATATCAAATGGCTAGTTTAAATATAGAATAAAAGCATCTTTTGGTTTAATTTGGATTGCAGGTTTTACTCCTCGCATCCGTGCAGGAAGGACTTACCATGCAAGGGTCTCTCGTGCATCCCCCAGGAATTCTGCCTCCCTCTTGGGAGGGGTCTCCACCAAAGGAGTCCTTTTCCAGAGCACTTCTCTGTCTACACCTTAAAATGTTTGGTGTTTACTTTTTAAAAGAAATTTGTTTCCTTCTAGCCCTCTCCAGTGGAGAAGATAACCTTTCTTTGTATCGTCATTAACGGCTACATACTAGGCAGGGAGTTCTGGGTCCCTGTGCTCCCCTTGAAATACTTTCTTCACAAGTTAAATAATCAACCTAACTCATGATACTGCTTTGATACTAGAAATACATATAGAAGTATATAGCTACACATAACTTGACTGCATAGGAAGAGAGGGAGAGAGACATAAAAAGAGACGTGACATTGTGGTAGTTTCCCATGGTTGACTCCTGAGGCCCCCTGCTGGAAATTTCCTGAAAATTGCTTCTTCGAGCTTTTTCTCAACTTAAAAATCATCAGTCATTCTCTCTGTGAAATTTTATCTTTCATTTTGTCAACTCATATAGTAAAATGATACCCTTGAGTTCCAAAGCATTTAAAATTCAATGCCCTACAAAATTCTACTTAGCCACATAAAAAGTGGCTTAGTACATTGAAAAGAAACAAAACGCAAATAATATCAACCAGAGCTCTACAGACACATTATAGATCATTATCAGCATCCCTTCCAATTGTCCTAAAAAAATCATTAAAATAAAGAAACAGACGTATGGCTATTTCTAAGGCAAACTATGATTAAAATATAATGTTTAATTGCAGATGGCACTCAAGTTCGATTAGAAAGCCACATAAAAATTAATGCATTAAAACAAAAGTTTAGATGAGACATACAATTTTGCAAAGAAATATTAAACGTTAAGCTCAACCTCAAGTTTGGTACAACTTGTTATGTAAGGCAACATAGAAAGGAAAAGAAGGAAATTTGAGAGGTTATAACAATAAACAAAATTAAAGTCATTACCATTTATAAGAGGACATCTTCAAGTATGAGCTACTCCAAGTGTAGAGTATAATTTCCAGCAGATAAAGGGAAATTTTGCAGAATTCAAACGGACTATGGAATTATCTGGTGAAAGTCTTTACTCAGTCAGTGTAAGTCTTCTGAGAAGACAAATGTCACTATGAGAGGAAGTATCCTCCCTCTCTCAACTGCCACTTTTGAGCCCCGGTTTAAACTAATATGGTCTTTGATCTCATGTTGCTCAGCTGTTGCCTTCTTAGTCAGATGGGGAAGAATATTAATTTTAGACACCAGGCTTTTCAAGGCCCATGGCTCCATTTCAGAGGTCAGGTAAGGAGAGGATGAACTGGGAACACGATGAAATATCACCTTCACCTTTCCCTCTCATTAGTGTGGCAACACTATCAAAATTACAAAGCTGGATTTGTCCTTGGCAATCACATGCCTGGCCCTCCTGCCCTTTTCAGACTCATGATTATTTAAGTGCTTATTCCCAGCTGGGAGGATTCTGAGTGTGACAGTCCCACAGCCACCTCTGTTTGCCCATCTTACACTTTGAACACATCCAGCTGGGATATAGGAGATCTTCCAAAAACACTTGCACAAGTTTGCTTTAACTTTCTCAATCCTTAAAGGTATTTGCAATGTCTCCAGCTGTTTACGGGTCTAGGAATAGGTCAAAGGTACAGGCACCCAGGTAGGTATGAAGAACAGGGATGAATTTTTCATAAACTCTCCTTACAAGTAAGCAACACTGTGACTTCCCCCTAGTTTTCTGCCACAGACCAAGAAAAAGGGGTTAGTGTGGAAACAAACCACCTGCCCAATTGTAACAGTAGTGCATTCCTAGATTTAAGCGGCATAAAACCTTGATTGCTTAGAACAGGAATCAGCATTATAGATAACCCTACAATTCTTCAGGGCCCAGCTGGTTGTCACCTCTTATGTGGAACCTTTGCTGACCCCTCTACACCCCACCGCAACACCAGCCACTAGCGCTCTCTCACCTTTTTTCTAAGTTCTTATTTTTAATTCAGATCAATGTATTCCATATAAAATAAAAATACATGCTTCTATTTTAAGTAGCACTTAAAGAATTAAAGAAAAATCTTTTTAAGGAACAAAACTTTAGTATTTTTCCGGGATCAGAGAACTTACAGATATGTGAAACATAAATTATCTGACAAAATTATTATGAAAAGACTGAACTGTCTTAAGGTCAGTTTTTTTATTGGTATAAGTAAATTGTGTAAAAGTACTGATAAGGTGATAAATCCCACCCCCAGAAGAAAAATGTGTGTGGCCTGCTTTGATTCAGCCAATCCTCCACACCACCCAAACAGCAAAACCACACTTTCCATTCCCTCGGCTTCAGGAAACCAGCCAGAGTCTCTAGTGAGCCAGAGGCCACGGAATCTGCTCTTTTGCTTTTCTGCAAATAAACTTTTTATTTTAGAGTAATTTTAGACCTACAGAAAAGGTGTAAAGATAGTTCAGAGAGTTTCCCTATACCCTGCACTACGTTTCCCCTATTTTTAACATCTTATGTTGGTATGGTACATTTGTCACCATTAATGAACCAATGTTGATACATTATTATTAACTGAAATCAATATTTCATTTTATTGGTTTTTTTCCCCCCTAATGTCTCTTTTCTGTTTCAGAATCCCATGCAGGATTCCACATTACTTTTAGAACCAATAGCGTTTGTGATGGATTGGATATGGGGTATGAAAGACAGATGGTAGACAAGGATGACTTTACAAGTTTTCTCCTGAGCACTGAAAGGACAGAGTTGACATTAACTGAGATGGAGAAGGCCACGGGAGGGGCAAATTTGGGGAGAAAGATCAGGAGTTCAGTTTTTGGCAAGCCCATTAAACATTCAAGTTGAATAGGTTGTGGAGAAAGAAATCTAGACTTCAGGGGAGGGGTGTGGATCGGAGATATAAATTTGGAAGTCATCCACATGTAGATATTTCCATGCACGATACGTACTAAATAAATACTAATTGATTAATTATGAGAGAAAATGATCTTTGTGAATATTTGTTTTCAAAAACAAGTTGATTAAAAGAATCCATGCTACTTGTCTTCTAAAAGGTAACAGTAGTCTGGTTCTGCTAAGTCACACTGTTCCCAGCTTCTGATGACATAGAAGACAAGCAGCCTGGTACAACACTTGACCACAAAAAAAACAGGTGATACGTGCATACTCGTTATGGTCTATCCACCTAGCCTCAGGATCCCACGGAATGTTCTGAATGCCTTAAAGATGCTCTTATGCCTGGAAAAATTCATTAGTAAGGCTATGAGCAGGCCCAGCAATACTTTCCCAGTATTTCCGTGATATTTTGGAGTTAGGCATCTTAAAAAAAAGAAAAATTAACATCAGGAAAACAGCATTTCACAGAGCCATGAAAAAGAATCATTTCCATTAGCTGAGTAAGAGACTGTGCTGTCAAAGGGGCCACACAAAGGTGCATCGCTGACAGCTCTGTCTACTGGTTGGCATTCAAACCAGGCTGGATAATGGTAGTAGTTGCTATGTGCGCACAGCATTATGCATGTTTCCAGAACAACAAGACCTCTTCAACATTTACGCACAAAAGTAGAGCAATCATCCCAAATACCAAAATGCAAATGAAAAGCTACTGCATCCCTGTTATCCACATTATAAATAAATTTTCTTCCTTTTAGAAAGCACTACTGAGTACAATCTATAAAAGCAAAATTTGATAAATTGGACTTCATTAAAATTCAAAACGTTTGCTCTTCAAAAGACACCATTAGGAAAATAAACAAACCAGCTACAGACTTGAAGAAAACACGGTGAAATCACATATTTGATAAAGGTCCTGTATTCAGAATATACAACAAACTCTTACAACTCAAAAATAGGATGACAAACATCCCGATTTAAAAAATGTACAAAAGATTGGAAAATACTCTCATCAAAGAACATACACAAATGGTTAATAAGCATATTTTTAAATGTTCAAAATCAGACACCAGGGAGACGCAAGTTAAAAACACAATGAAACAGCATTTCACACCCACTAGAAGAGCTATTATATAAAAGACAGAGAAAAGCAAATGTTTATGAGGATGTGGAAAAACTGGAACCGTCATTGGACATGCTGATGGGAATGTGAAATGGTACAGGTATTTGGGAAAACAGTTTGGCCATTTCTTAAAAAGTTATTTCCCATATGACTTAGCAATTCTTCTACTAGGTGTCTACCCCAAGAGAAAGGAAAATGTATGAACACACAAACCTTTGTGCATGAATGTTCATGGAAGCATTATTCACAGTAGCCAAAACTGGAAACAACCTAAACACCCATTACTTGGTTTGGTGAAAGGGAAAACATAATGTGGTATATCAATACAAATGGAATGTTACTCAGCATCGAAAAGGAATAAAATACTGATATTTGCTACAACATGGATGAACAAAAACACTGTGTTAAATGCAAAAGCCAGAACCAAAGACCACATATTATATGATTCCATTTGTATGTTAAGTCCAGAAAAGGCAAATCTATAGACATGGAAATTAGACTGGTGGTTGTCCAGGGCTGGAAGTAGGAATGAGGATTAAGATGCTGTGTTGTGGCAGATGACTGTACAACTCATTAAGTGTCTTAAA